GTCACTTCATTAAACTAAGCCATCAATAATAAAAATGCAAATGTTTGCCAGGTGCTTTTGCTCCTGTGTTGGGGGCTGCTGTGTAAACATGAAACACTTCCTGGGACTATTGCCACTGTTGATAACAGTAGAGTCATTACACAAAACGCCTATGCAGCAAACCGGGTTTTAGTTATTTCCAAAGAGGGAAGATGGAGCCAAGTGTGGAAGTCCATTGTGTTTATTTTATTTTATTTTATTTTATTCTGAATTTTTCTGGTTGGCAAGGAATTACCCAGTTAGTAGAGAAGTAATTTTGATAGTATTATTTCTGTCACACTCTTCTTAGATGTTCCATCTTTAGCATAGACATGTCCTGACTTTTCACTGTGCACAGGAAGAGTGATAAAATTGCTATGTCCAGTGCTTGTACCCATATTCTTGTCACTGTTGCTTGGGTCCATAATCTGACCTACAGTGCATAGTATGCTGGTCAAGTCTGAAGAGCCTGGTGCTTGACTGTTAACTTCAGTCCTATTACTTTATGAGATCCTGGCGATGTCACAACTTCTTAAGCTCCAGTCTCCTCACATGTAAAGCTGTGCTCTCAGTGTTCTCAGAGATACTTGAGAATAATGAGTTCACTGCACACACCACCTGCTGCTCAGTCATGCTGGGCTTTTTGCATTGTTTCCATATCTTTTGGAGCAGTCATGTTTTATAACCTTTATCATCAATATGTTTTCCTCTTTTCCTGGAATCTTGTGTGTGTGTGTGTGTGTGTGTGTGTGTGTGTGTGTGTGTGTGTGTGTGTGTGTTTGTGTGTGTGTGTGTGTGTGTGTGTGTGTGTGTGTGTGTGTGTGTGTGTAAACTCAGTATTAATTGGTCAGTAGTTAATTCAGGACCTCACAATTGGACATCAACCTTCTCTTTAGGTAAGATAACATTCTGAAGAATCTGTGCACATTCTTAAATTTTATTTATCTCCTCCTCATGTGTCATGGCTGGGAGTATTTCTTTAATTGCCCAGATAAATCAAATATTTGTTTCTGCCATGAATATAAAGGATCCAATAACTTGATTCTATTGACCAGTTAGCCTTCCTATAGCACATTTCCACACGATTGCTCTATGAAGAAAAATTACTTATACCTTCTTTATAAAAATGTTTTTATTAATTAAATTATTTGAGAATTTCATACAATGTATTGATATCAGAGTAACCTCCCCAACTCCTCCCAGATTTCCCAGTTCCCCAACTTTGTATTTTCTTTCTTTCTTTTTGAAAACCCATTGAGTTCAACCTGTATTGCCCAACTACTCTTGAGTATGGAGCTTACTCTATGGTGTGGTCAACCTACCATTAAAACTAAAGCTAACTCTTCCTCTTCCAGCTGCTATTAAGTGCCAATTGATCCTCAGCTATGGATGGAAACTTCCTTTTGAGCCTTGTAGTTTTTTTTAAAAAAGATCCATAACAGTATGTGTCTTCCTATTGATCAAGTTTCTTTAAAATTCTGCAAGGACCTTCCTGTGAAATGATTGCTACACAAAGCTATCCATGGGATACACACCACGCCCTTGGTGTGTGGCATGGAAGCTTGAGTTGGCTAGGCTGCCAACAGGCTTCTGTTCTGCTTTCCAAGCCAGGGCTCATTTTCCTAGTTTGCACAAAGACAGTAAGAGTTGACTAATTCTCTTGAGCAACTCATCAGTTATTAGCCATTAGCACCAAGAAGTGATATTCTTATATTCTTGTGGTTTTTAGCTAAAGACACATGGACTGATTCTCCTCTTTGTAGTAGCTGTTTGCTGAGTGGCTTCCTTTGTCTGTATTATCTCTGACTTCTTGGGGACAGGAATGAAATGAAGGTTTGCTTCCTGTGAAAAGTTGATCCCTGTTTGTTAATAGTAAATTATATCCTTTCCAAATTATATAGGACGGGTTGAAAATGGCTACTGGAAATAGCTGCTAGTAGAAGTAGCAAAATGATTGAATAGGAATGCAAATCAGAGTGCATTAGCATTTAATCAGCTCCTACTTCTGCGGTGCCGTGTTAGTATTTCTCTTAGTCATGCTGGCTTAGAGATTGTAGATGAGCACAGAGGGGGAGAGCTCTCAGTAAATTGTGGTCCTTTGTCTGGTATGAATTCACAGCGGTCAGAATCCAGGGCCTCTCTGTCATTTACCTACTCATATGAGACGAACACATCGTGGTCACACACCACATGTCTGATCCTGGCAGTGCTACCTAGCACTTAGTCTCTTTTTTTTTTCCTTTGCAAAAGAGGAATTTAATTGTTCCACTTTCATGAAGGTGGCTGTGAGAGTTAATTAAGAAAGAGATGCAAATTTATTAGGATAATGCATGGTAAAGAGGAAAAATTTGAAACTTAATGTCAAATATTACCATAGATTTGAAATATCATGGTGGTTAAGATTTTGGGTCCAGAGTTAGACTTGATTACTGTCTAAGTCAGTGGTTTACAGCCTTCCTAATGCTGCGACCCTTTAACATAGCTCCTCATGTTGTGACTCCCAACTATAAAGTTATTTTTGTTGCTATTTCAGAACTGTAATTTTGTGACTGTCATGAATCATAATGTAAATATCTGATATGTAGATGGTCTTAGGTGACTCCTGCTAAAGGGTTCTTTGATCCACAAAAGGTCACGAACCGAAGGTTGAGAAACATTGATCTAAATCATTTGCTGTCTTGGAATTTGGAGCCCTCTGTGACCTTTCTGTAAAATTGGAAACAGTCTTACAGATAGCAGCATAGTGTCTACTTCACAGCCTTCACTGGAGGAAGAGCTGGAGAGCTTTTGGTGTAATTTCTAATGGAATTCTTCGATAACTTTAGAATCCCGGTGGTTGAGGGTTATATAGCAGTTAGAAAAATAAATGCATATAGAAGTTACTTTGGATCATTCCAAGTAACTTACATGTAGGACCTCATTTATTTCTTGCCAAGTCCTTGCATGGTTTGAGCCCTGGAGCTCTGACATGAGCTGATGAAGGAATGAGGAAAGGACAGACGCATAGACACAGAAAAGACAGGATTGGGTGGTCTGGGCCCTCAGATGGAAAAGCCAAAACATCCTTGAAGTTCCCAGTGTTTATTGTATACAGTTGAACAGTGGGATGGGGTTATTGCATAGAGCTGAACAAAGAAACAGGGTTATTACATACAGCCAAACAAGGAGGCAGGTTTAGTCAGTCTTAGTAGGAGCAGATTCTGTAGGCGGAACAATCTTTGGGCTGTAAACATTCAAGGAAGAAAGCTAAGGTAGACGTTTTCTGCACACGCTCTCAACATTTGCACTCACACCTGGAGAAAACTTTGCCATCATGAGCCTTCCACCTGGGGAAGGCTTTGCCACACCCATGGGTCTGAGGCACAGGGGTTTTTGACATGGTCGTGCCCACATCATGAGCATGTGTTCACTCCGGGCTTCCTTTGCTCCCCCACGATTTCTCACCACTCCTCTTTATGACCCAGGTGCTGTGGATGTCCCTGTTTCTGAAGTCCAGTGCTCTGTGTTGCAGCACAGTGCCCATCTTGTCTTTACTTTATAGATGAGTAAAGTTATGCACAGAGCAGTTAAGGTTCCCAGCATGGAGGGTTGGAGAAAAGAATCCACGCGGCTTTGCTTGATGAAAATAATGACAGGAGCTGGCTGTAATAGTTGCAGAATGAAACTTGACTGTTAGGCTAATGGCTGTGTCCTGTCCTCTTCTAGTCCTAACTGCAACAGTAGTTATGATGTTTAAAATGCAGAGTCTCTACTAACACCAAAGAACTAAAGAAGGGAGACAAGAGTGAGTGGCAGGGAAGACTCGAACTTTCTTCTGAGACAAAAAAAACTGGTGCAGGGAGTGAGTCGGTAGCTGGGCTGCATCGTCTCTTGCAGTCCTGCTTCAACCCCTTCGCCTTACCTCTTTCTTGCTGCTTTTCTTACTCACTGTAGGACCCCATGGCGCTAGGCAGTTGACGGGCTTACTTTACCCCAGGGTCCCTGATGTGATAGTAGATGACTATCTTCACGTGGCTCTGCAGTCCCACATTCTTCTACCCATGTAACAGGACAGTGCCCTGCTTAGAGATGCTGTTGAAGGTCAGACTCACACTTCCCAAATTGCTTCTATTGGGCAATGTAGTCAAACTTAAAAAAAGAAAACCTTTAAATTACACTTATTGTTATTATTATTGTGTGTATAACAGGAGGCTGGGAGGTATGTGCATGTCATGGTGTGCATGTGGATGTTGGAAGACAACTTTATGGAGGTCACCAGGCATTCTCTGCAGGTGCCTTTACTGAATCAGCCATCTCCACAGGCCTGGCAACAATTCTTAAAAAATATTTATTTGTTTAACGTATATGAAGGTTTTACCTGCATGTGGGTGCCTGGTACCTGTGGAGGTCAGAAGAGGTCATTGAATCACCTGGAACTGGAGTCACAGATGGTTGTAAGCTTCTATGTGGGTGATGGGAATCAAACCCTTGTCTTTTGTAAGAGCAGTGGCTCTTAACTATTGTGCCATAGTCAACATTTTAAAGCCTTAGTTTCTTTATCTATGAAATGGATGTGTAGAGCACGTTGAGATGATTATGTTTAAAACATACAGAGTGTCTTCCTGGAGCAGAGAATTAAATTTCATTATTATTATTATTAGAACATTAGCACTCTGAAAAAGATTGGCTTGATGTGGATCATTACCAAGCAGTTTCATTACAGCAATAACAACAGAAACTCAGTTGCTATCATGACAAGTGCCCTGGGGTGTTTTTCAATATAATAAACTGATTTCATTTTTATCATCATTAACATGGGTGTTCCTGGTAAATCCTCCCAGACTTGGGGAGAGTGAGCTGTGGAGCCCAGAAGCACAAGGAAAGAAATGTGTCTGTAAATGCAGTCTGCTGTTTATTTGTATGAGTGAAATAATGTGTGTGAATGTGCTTTGAAATGTGGGACTCTCTATAAATCTAAGATATTGTTTTCAAACTGTCAATAGGAAATCTGAAAAGAAGAGTCAGTTTCACCAAGGAAGATATGAGAACAGGAGGTTTGTGACTTGACTGGAGGAAACTGGAATTTGAGCTGAAAAGGTAGAAAAAAACAGACATTGGAAAAAAGCATATATTCTTAGAATAAAGTGACCAGTCTTACAGTATTGGAGTATCTGACATCTATGGGGGAAAATAATGAAGTCCCAAGTGCTGGTGGGGGATTCTGAATGACACTCAGTGTTTTCTCTAGGGTTTCTATTGCTGTGAAGAGACACCATGCCCATGACAACTCTTAAAAAAGAAAACATTTTTTTTTAAATTGGGGCCTACTTACAGGTTCAGAGGGACATGGTGTTGGAGGAGGAGCTGAGAGTTCTACATCTGGATTTACAGGCAGCAGGAAGAAAGAGTGAGCCACCACCAGGCCTGGCTTGACCTTCTGAAACCTCAAAGCTTGCTCCTGGTGACACACTTCCTCTAACAAAGCCACACCTCCAAAAATGCCACTCCCTATGAGCTGATGGAGGACATTTTCATTCAAACCACCACACTCAGTCCACCATGTCAAATCTCCAGCTTCAGTGCTTCCCTCTCCTGGGAATTAGCAACCTTTTCACTCCCTGTATGTGGAATAGAGGTGACAGATTAGCAGCGTCTCCCCCTCCCTGCTTTTGGCCCCGTCATTGATGAAGTGACTGTTTGCTCTCCTATACCATCCTGTGTTTGCACTGGTGATTCTGAGTCTACCATATGAAAAGCCTAAAGTTACCAGAACTTTCTGTTTCTCCACTCGCCCTCTGTGAATAGTCAGTTTGTCCCTTATGATTTCTAAAACCAGAGGACATCCATTCAGGTCAATGTGGAAAGAAATCTTGTTAGTTTCTAAGGAGGCCACCTGAAGTGATATCAGCATGATGGATGCTCAAGATGACAATTGTCCCCTCGTCACCAGTGCAATAAGCCATTTCTAAGTTGAATCTACGCTTAAAGTTTTACTGTCTTAACCTGGGCCATGCGAAGGTATGGGTAATCAACAAGCACATTTTTAAAAAAAATTTATTCAATGAATATTTACTGCATGCCAGATCCCGTTCTATCTGTGGGAACAGAGTAACGAAAATGATGAGTTCAAAAATCACTTCATAGAGCTGCCATTACAGCTGAAAGAGGCCGATAACCTGGATCACTGGTTAAAATACGGTGATGCTCGGATGTCAACATGACTAAAGAGAATATTAAGAATATGCAGCAAGGAGTATGATAGCGAGTTACAATTGTATGTAAGGGAAACAGGGTTCCTCGATGGCTGTCAGTAAGGTGGTTGATGTGACCTTAAAGGAATGTGTGTCTTCCCTGTAGATGTTTGTCTCTCCCCAAGCTGTATGACTAAAAATGAAAGCTTTTGTGGAGTTTTTGGGCTAAGTTAAAATGTTTAATTCTGTGAAAGACCATGTCTCATACTGGTACATCCAACCCTGGAGTTAGTCACTGTGGGTTATCTTTCCAGCATAAACATCACCAACAACAAAAAGAAACAATTTAACCTTTTGAACTTATTTCTCTCTTATAAAATTGATTCTGCCCTTACTTAAAAATGATCTGACATTAATTTATAGAAGCAATTTCTTGTTCTAGTTATTTTCTAAAGGTTACTGTATGACATTTTCTTGTTCACCCATCTATTATTTGACCTCATACTGATTTCAACACAAATTACACTTTTCTTTTTAGATAAAAAAAATCATCTTTGGATTCTACTTTGAGTTTCTCCGGCTAATTTCCAGATCAGGGGCATATCTCTGACATTACATGAGCAACAGAGGGTTTGATCCATTTATTCTGAGGCAAAAAGAAGAGTAAGAAACAGAGAAAGGAGGAGGAAGTGAGTGAGAGCAAGAAGATAAAAATCTGCTGGGAGGGTGGCTCATACTTGCAATCTCAGTACTGAGGACGTTAAGACAGGAGGCTTACCATGAAATAAATCAAGGACAGCCTGGGCTGCACGGTGAGGACCTGTTTCAAAAAAATAAAGCAAAAATAATTTTAAAACAACCATCATTTTATTTTTTTATTTCTGTTTTTAGCAATAGTATCTTTTTTTTTTTTTTTTTTTTTTTTTTTTTTTTAAGCAATCACCTGGTACTTTAAAGTATGATGATTTTGGACAGACTTAAAAGCTCCAAGAAAGAATTATTGTTATCATGTATATGAATGTGTGTCTATGTGTGGGTACCCACAGAGTTCATAGAGGGCATTGGATCCCCTGGAGCTGGAGTTGTAGTCAGTTGTGAGCCAAGCAGTCTGAATAATGGGAAATAAACTGGGGTCTTCTTCAAAAGCAGTTAAGTGTTCTTAACTCTGAGCTGATGCAATTACTTATATTGTTACATTATTAAATAAGAAACCAGGAATCAGATGTCAGGGTTAAAAACCTGGTTGATCAGAGAAGCAGCAGGGAAGCAACCAGTGGCTGCCTCTCTCCTTCCTTGATCCAAAAGGCCCGTGAATCTTTCTAAGCCCTTCCCTACTACTTCCCGTGTCTCTCTGTTTGTCCTGGGTCCTCCAAAACTTCCATGGCTAATTCTGGCCAGCTAGTAGCTAGCTTTGCCCTCTGATTCAAAGTAGACTTTATTGTCAGTCTCGGGAGTGTCAGAGTGCAATTAAAATACCCCACAACATTTCCAAATTTTTGTCTAAATAAGAAGGTGCTAGGGATGTCTTTCTGTATGCTGTGAATGTATTGCTCTGATTGATTGATAAATAAAATGCTGATTGGCCAGTAGCCAGGCAGGAATTATAGTATAGGCAGGACAAGAGAGAAGAGAGTGCTGGGAAGAGGAAGTCTGAGTCAGGAGATGCTGCCACCCACTGCTGCCATGAGAAGCAGGATGTAAAGTACTGGTAAGCCACAAAGCCATGTGGCAACTTATAGATTAATAGAAATGGGTTAATTTAAGATATAAGAACTAGATAGCAAGAAGCCTGCCACGACCATACAGTTTATAAGTAATAAAGTCTCTGTGTGTTTACTTGGGTCTAAGCAGCTGAAGGCCTGAGCGGTACTGGAAAAAACTCCAGCTACAAGAAGGGAAGGTTTGAACTTTAACACAGTAGTACTATATACAATAAGAACAATTACCAGATAAGAATGACATTCACAATATCCAGTCCATTTGTATTTGGCATATTTGGAGAAGATATTTCATTATCTATCATTTCTTGGTGAGTCCAAAGTGTTGTACCTAATTTACTTTCTATCATAACTAAGGAAGACTATAATTATAACTATCTAGTCTTCAATCCCATCAGAGATCCAAAAAAGATATACTACTACCTGAGTAAAAAGGAAGTGCAGAGGAAACAACTTCCAAAGCTATAGAAATGATAGAAACAGCTGGTTTCCTGGAGAGTCACCCAGGCTTCCTCTGTAATGTTGGGGCATCCATCTTCAGCCTACAGATCTAGAATATGTGACAGACTTTTCTGTGGAGCAGGAATTTTGAAGGACTGTCCTACTTTGGCTTAGCAAAGTTTGGCACTTGCCTTCTTTTGTGTCCTGCTTGTCTAACTTGGACAGCATACTGCCAGCAGTTTAGGCAAGGGCAGTTTCTTACCCAGATTGCTAACTTTGCCACAATGAAAGCAAACTCCATATGGAGGTTCTTTGATGCCCAACATCTTTTTTTTTTAAGTAAATTGGTGCTTTCTGGAGCAGATGTATCTCATTGTCATGAAAAGCTTTATGTTAAAATATCTTAAATGACATATTCTGTAGGTCTCTGAAGTGTTTGAAGACCATCTAGCTACTTAAAACATATCTCTGTTTGATCTTGAAAGCATACCTAACATGACTATAAGTTTGATTGTTATAGATGTGTGGTGACATTGTGTTCCCCAATATATTGTGCACCTTAATGAACTTATCTGGGGTCAGAGAACAGAACAGCTGCTGTATTAGACAGAGAGGTCAAAAAATGGTGGCACACACACCTTTAATCCTAGCATTGTGAAGGCAGAAATCCATCTGGATCTCTGTGAGTTCAAAGTCACACTGGAAACAGCCAGGCATAGTGACACATGCCTTTAATCCCAGGAAGTGATGGCAGGAAGCAGAAAGGTATATAAGGTGTGAGGACCAGGAACTAAAGCCTGGTTAAACTTTTAAGCTTTTGAGCAGCAGTTCAGCTGAGATCCATTTGGATGAGGACACAGAGGCTTCCAGTTTGAGGAAATGAGATCAGCTGAGAAGTTGGCGAGGTGAGGTTGGCTGTGGCTGGTTCTGTTTCTCCGTTCTTTCAGGGTTCACCCCAATACCTGGCTCTGGGTTTGTCTTTATTAATAAGACCTTTTAAGATTCTTGCTACATAGATGACTAACTATTAACCTGTCTTTCTTTATTATCCTAGATAACTTTTAAGAATGAAATCTTTACATTTTTGAAGAAGCTGCATAGGTATAATACCTTAAATAAAAGTAGAAACATATATACAGTATAACAAAAATAACTTTAAATTTGTGTCAATAAACAAAAATATCTTAAACAAGAGTAGAATCATATATACAGTATAACAAAAATAAACTTAAATTTGTGTCAATATATAAAAATCCATACCAATGTGAAATATTTGAGACTAGTTGCTTTTTTACTTTAAAATCTACCTTTTTATACTATATCCTTGAATCTAATTTCCTCTGCTTAATTTCTTCCCTAACTACGACCAATAACAATTTGTAACCAACCTCCCTAAATGATGACAATCATCCTCTGAATGACAAAAAACAAAACAAAACAAAAAACAAAACAAAACAAAACAAAAAAAACCCTCCTCACCTCTTGGGAATGTGGGCATCATATTCTTAAAATTGCTTCCTGTTGTCTGGGGGTGACAGCATCTGTAGGGGACCCTGAGAAAATTGAGATAATGGCCAAGTCCCGGGAGAGCTAGCTGTTGTCCAGTCTCAGTGTGATGGGAAAGCACAGGGCTTATCTGAAGTCCTGACTGGAGTAGTCTGCAAGGCTGGACCATCTTATCTAACCACCTTGAATTGTCCTGAGCAGTTTGTAGTCCAAAGCTGATCTTTGGGTGGTGCTTGTCAGC